TTTCCCTCATGTTCCTATCACAAGCCAAAGCTCTACATACTTGTTGTCGCGATTTTTGTAAGTGAACATATTTTTGATATTTCTTCCAAAAAATTTTTTATCTGCATTTTTTTGCAGAAGGACGAAGAGTATCCGCGCATTTCTATATTCGAGGTTGACAGAGATAGCGGCGAAAGCAAAGAATACAGGTTTGTTTGCATAAGCATATCACATAAATTTAGCTTCATTTTTGTTGTTGACAAGTACATTTTTTAACGTCCGCTTGCTGTTCAAAATACCTTGAATTTACAAGTGTTATCCTAATTTTTGAACAGATAATCGCTGTCTAGTAAAATGAGGTGAAATTATCAAAAATGAAAAAAGGGCATGTTGGTAATTTTGAGAATGTAATTTTTTGAACTCAAAAAATTCTGATCCTAGTGAAAATGTCCAGTTTTGCTTTAACTCATATAAAAATCCTGTTTCCTCGTTTACAGTTTTGAAACCACTACACAAAATTAAACGATTCCTTTTACTTCTGCAAACACATGAACAAAGCCTTGCTTAATAATTTTTTACCATCACATCTTTTTTAGGAATCGTTCTTTTCATAATGATTAGGAATTCTACTCTGCAAACCAATCAGACTTTACCTATAAAATGAGACGTTGGTTTGATTTCTTAATACAATGGTTTCGCAATTGTTTACAGATCTTTCCGTCGCTCTTTGCTTTTCTATTACCTCATCCATGATCGAGAGCTCTGTCTAACTCAACACTATTTAACTCGCGTTGTAATAGATGTGCTATTTGCAGGCTCGCAGTTGAATCGGGACCGACATTCGACGAGGTTCCACTAGAAAATGCAATTCTTGGATGTGGCCCTAATAGTTTACATATCTATGACAGGGGAATAGTCATGGGACCAATACCGTATTGGGACATCACGTTACATGAGGTAGTTCTCTTTTCTTAATGTTTACGTATTTTCTGCCTGAAGACACAAGCAAACCTATACTACTTGTGAAGATTTCCATAAGAAGATCGTTTTTGAGGACACATTCACTCTTGTACGAGATGATATTAATGATGATTCCGGCGAAAAATGCAATCGCTTTCCGATCGCCATCGACTCAGGTATGTTTGAAAACATGCTTGTTGAAATACTGGTTACAGAGTACAAGTATTCTGTATGCGAAAAATGGAATATTGATTGATCTACACAACCGGCATACGGTAGCTTTTGGTGTAGTAGTCAATAGCTAACGTAGCCCGGAAACGTAGATGACACCCAAAATGAGGGTGATGAGATATCGAAGCCATTAGTGGGTCTCCTAACTAGGCAAACGCCCAGGTCTCGCTGCAAAAGATGAATTCCAAAGCGAAAAAAATGCTCTAGACGGTAGAAGCGGAGGTGGTCGCTCCGCCTATCAGTGTGGGTGGTCTGCTAATACAAGTCCAAAGTTGGGTTGAATGTGATCAAATTATGGAAAATCACTTCGTTTTACTTTCGACAGTTTTGGACACATTTAAGCCCAGTTTTGGACTTGTATCAGCAGACCACCCACGTTGATGGGCGGAGCGACCACCTCTGCTGCTACCTCCTGGAGCGATTTTCTTGCTTCGGAATTCATCTTTTGCAGCACGAATTGCGCTTCATGGGGCCCCACTTTCGTACCGTATGAAACGCCCCCATTTTGGGTGGACGATGCCTTTACATCGGCTTCCAACCACTAGTACTATTTTTCTTTTTGGTTTATTTTCTGTAACAATAAGGTATCTCCACCTTTTCAGCTAAGCGAGTATTCGCACGTCTTCGTGATGACCACTCTTTGGTAGTGTATAACCCCGACACAAAAACATGGCGACCATATTATCTTGCTCCAGGGTCGCATCTAAACGTAAGCATAGGAGGCTCATGCTTTCGAACTCAAAATGCTGATCAATTGTAGCTAGACAGGCTGAATGTGCGAGGCTTGCATGAATCATTTGGAAGAGCTGGGCGCAGAGTTGGTGCAGTTGAATCTCCACTTACGGTATACAGTGACGGACCAGTGATTGTGGCAAGGATGAAAGCTGGGCGAAGACAATTTTTCTATCGAGTTACTTTTGGTATGTCTTTGTAATTTGTCTCTCGTTCGTTAGCATTTATGGTTGTTTTTTTTCTGTTTCGTTGTAGCCCACTTAAACTTTATTGTAGATCATGAGAAATGTGAATTTCTGTGCGAACAGCGTGGATGGGCACGCTTCTCAGGAGGGGTAGATCAAATGTTCTACACTATTGTCGGAGAAAACTCTCTCATTTTGATTGGCATACGAGCTGTTGCTATTGCTCCATTGCAGGTGGGTTATCTTACTTTTCTGTAAAAATATTGTTATGGTGAAAATGTGAATTTAAGCCACCCACACTAGTGGAATGTGCTTTGATGTCTTTGCAAGACCGACATTGTAAAAAGGATAGTACGGGTGCTCGAATGGGAGGTCTTACGCCTGAGCAAGTCAAGAAAATGGTGAACTACCGTGGAACATCTCTTATTCCTGTCTGAATCTACTTTTACTATTTTCAAATGCCTGACATGCACCCTGCTCAATTTGGGTAGACAAGTCTAGAATCTCAGTGTCTCTAGTCATAATGAAAATCTGAAATCTCATGAAATGAAATGTATATCGCGTTGTCTAGAAACTCTTGTTGTGTTGACCAAATTTATAAGCCTTGGAAGATTGTTACAGTTATTTACCTGCAGTGCACTTGTTACATAAACCAACAATTTATTATCTGTAATATCACTAGTTGG